ACATTATTTATTTTGAATGGTTAGTTAAATTATTGGTAACAATATTTTTTTGATATGAATCATTAAAATATTGATTCATAAATGACTAAATAATTATTCAGCAAAAAAAATGAAGAAAAAGAAAAATTAATTTGTCTCAAATTTGTTATATTATATGGCATATTAACATATTTTAGAAAATGATCGTCTTTCTACTAGTTATCTTGATTTCATTTATATTGTTTCTGTATATTGCTTATAAAACTCGATGGATATATACACTCATATACAAGGTTTCGAAATTATATTTAAAAAAAAAGTAGAAATTATATCCATTAATTTATATTAGGTTGATGAAGAAACAACAGCATACGGTGGTGAACTTGTTGCTGATGTTCTTAAAGTAGGTAAGTAACTCATATAAAGTTCTTGTAATAATAAAATTTTTTTAATTTTATTTTTAGGCTCATGGAATTCCTTATATATTTTGTTTATCTGGTGGTCATATATCACCAATTTTAGTTGCTTGTGAAAAACATGGTATACGTATAATTGATACTCGTCATGAAGTAAATGCTGCATTTGCTGGTAAAATTTTTCTACATATAAAAATTGAAAAAAGCATCAATAAATAAAAATATTATTCTTGTTTTTTTTTTCTTTATTAAGCTGATGCAGTTTCTCGTTTAAGTGGTAAAATTGGTGTTTGTGTTGTAACTGCTGGACCCGGTAATATAGATTTTTGTTTTGCTCTTGAAATAAAAAGAAACAAAATAATCGATGTTATATGTTTTGTTTTCATCTGAAGGTTTAACAAATACTGTAACAGCAATAAAAAATGCTCAAATGGCTGAAAGTCCATTATTATTAATTGGTGGTTGTGCCGCTAATTTATCTAAAGGACGTGGTGCATTACAAGATATTGATCATATGTCTTTATTTAAATCAATATGTAAATATACAGTCAGTGTTAAACGTGTTCGTCAAATACCAAGTCTACTTCGAAAAGCTATCTTTATTGCACAATCAGGAACACCAGGTAAATAAAATTTTAATAATCAAAATTAAATAATTGAAGATTTGTTATTGTTTTAGGACCAGTATTTGTAGAATTTCCAATTGATGTGCTATATCCATTTTATTTAGTTGAAAATGAAATTGGAATAAAACCAAATCCAAAAACATTAGCTGATAAATTAGCAAATTTGTTCGTAGACAAAAAGAAAGATAAAATATTGAATTACAATTATGAATTTATTTTATTTCTAGATATTTATCAACATATATACGTGGAACATTTGCTGGAGCTTTTGATGAACAAATACTGACACCAATACCACCACAAGTACCTTTTGCATTAAATCAGTCGAGTAATGACTAATTCTATTGAAATATTTCATTAATTTTTTCATTTTCTTAAGTTCGAAAAGCTGCTCAACTTGTTCAAAAAGCAAAATCTCCAGTTTGTTTATTAGGTAGTCAGAGTACACTTCCACCAACATCAACAAGTGACGTCGTTGAAGCACTTGAAGTAAGTTTTTTTTTATGAATAGTATTTAATTGTTTTTTTAATTTATTTTATAGTCAATGAATATTCCATGTTTTCTCGGTGGTATGGCAAGAGGTTTACTTGGTAGAAATAGTTCAATACAATTTCGTCATTGTCGTAAAGATGCATTAAAAGAAGCTGATGTTGTTCTTTTAATAGGTTAGTATTTTAAGAGTACATCCTACTGTTCTTTTCAAACTACTTTTAGTTTTTTTAAGAGGATACTAACGATTAAGTTGAAATTTGTACCATGAATATATCATCTAAAATAAAAAAATTTCAAAGAAGATTTTTCGTAGGGCTGTATCTTGACACATTACGATCTTCATCTAATTTTGTCCAATCGAAGTGACACTTTTGTCACAGGTAATTGAAAGTATTCTCTCCAGACGAAGACTGAGTCACTTTCATTTTTGACCTTCGTGTTTAAGTCTATAGGATTCTAAAAGTAAAATTCTGAATTTTATATCCGAATCTGTACGTATTTTTCTCATCAAAAACATTACGAATTTCGAAAAAGTTCAAAACTATCTGTGATATATAGTGTTAAGTATCTGTTAAAAAAAACTTTTTGAATCGATCGAACAAAATTCGATAGAGTCGTAATATGTTCGAAGGTGATTTCATAGAAATTTGTGTTTTATTGTAAAACTCTGAGATTTTTTCCTCGCACATATAGTTCTTATTTTAGATACTCTATATATAGTAAAAATTTTCAATTTGATTACTGGTATCCCTAAGTTGAAAACCTTTTGTTAATCTAATTATGTATTTTTTAAGGAACTGTTTGTGATTTTCGTCTTGGTTATGGAAAAGTTCTTTCAAGAAAATCAAAGATTATTATTGTTAATCGAAATTCGTCTAGTTTATACCAAGTAGGAAAAAATATCAACAAATATTCAGAGAGAAATTCTATTATGTTTAATTATAGAATAGTGATGTCTTTTGGAAACCAACATTAGCTATTCAAGGTGATCCAGCTGATTTTATTGTACGACTAAATAAAGACTTATTAGGAAAAAACTATAAATGTCCTAACACATGGATTGAAACTCTTCGAAATAAAGATAATATTAAAGAAGAAATCAATCGGTAATTATTAATATATTTATTTTTATTTCAAAGAGAAAAAAAAGGAAATCTGCTGTTTATAGAAAAATAGGGTTAGAACCAACTGAGGATCATTTAAATCCAGTGCATGTTTTACAAGAATTAGAAAATCAATTACCAGATAATGCTATTTTAATTGGTGATGGCGGAGATTTTGTAGCTACAGCTGCTTATGTACTTCATCCACGAGAACCATTAACTTGGTTAGATCCTGGTGCATTTGGTACATTAGGCGTTGGTGCTGGCTTTGCTTTAGGTGCAAAATTAGTTCGACCTGAAGCAAGTGTTTGGATTATTTATGGTGATGGTGCTCTTGGTTATAGTATTATGGAATATGATACATTTATTCGACATAAAGTATTTGAAAATTTTTCTCGATTTATAACCGATACATAATTTTTACTTTCATTTTCTTTTTTCTAAGATACCGATTATATCAATTGTTGGTAATGATGCTTGTTGGAGTCAAATTGCTCGTGATCAAGTTCCATTATTAGGCAGTATTGTTGGATGTTCATTAGAGGTTAGATTATATATATTTAAAAGAATAAGAATAAAAAAAAGAAAACGAAGCTAGTTCAAATTCATCTCTAGTGTTAACTTCAACTTATAATGGATGATCGGAATGTTTTTAGATCAGGTGTTTCTTCATTTTTGTTCCACTGGAAAGTATTTCCGATTTGTCAAAGGCTACGAATTAGGACGCTCTTTTCGAATATCGATTTAGAAATTTTCTATCAATGAAATTATCTTTGAAACGTCAAAAATAAAATTAGTTTGATCGGAAAATTTTGTCGCAGATTTTTATATTGGCACTAACGTGATACGAAAGTAAAAGTTGAGATCTTTATACATATATATATATGAGCTTATAGGTTGGAAGCTACCCTACTAAATGTACTATTTGAAGCTTTTTTGTCTTTCGATAAGACACCTCAATTTTTTTTTTCTTAATACTTATTTTTGAATTGAGAACCGTTTTGCATTATAAGAAACTCTTGAAAAAATGCTTGTAGCCTCACTTGTATTAAAGCTACAGCTTACTTCAATATCACATTTTGTAGAGAAATGTGCGCCCTCCAAGATGACTGTTTCTGACAACGTTTCGCATGTTCGCCAAGAGACTTCTAAGATAAGCAAAAACCTGTTAACTGACCATCAAAAAATAATTTTTCAAATCTTTCAAAACTCTCTCACTACTCTTGTACAAAAATAGGCACAACATTTCTAAGCTCACATTCGAAAAGAGCATCCTAATTCCAAGTTTTTCATTCTTTGCATATGCTTTCTAAGGGGTGAAAAATGAACAAATATCTTATCTGAAAATTTTTCTATCATCAGTTTCTCTGTTTATTTTTGAAAACACAACATTGAACATCATAAGAACTACTCTTTTTTCCTTGTTTTTTTCAACAAGTCACCTTTATTAAGTAACATTAGGACATTATCGAATTAATAGCATATTCATTTCTATTATAGTAAAGTCATATGCTATGACTAAAAACGATGTTTTGAGAACAAGCAGTCGCATTGCGAAATTTTATTATGCATTTACGCAAAAGAAAAACATATGGTGCTTTTACAATATAAAATTATAGATGCATAAAGTACACACTTTACCTAACTCTTGGGTAAAGTACTGTTCTAATTAAATCTGTATTTAATTCTCTTGAAAACAAATTCGCGTAATCATACTTCGGTTCAAAATACTTTAACAAATGAAAGTGCTGTGAAATTTCTGATTTGAGAGTTTCAAACAGAAAACTCGATTCTGCTCCTGTAAGAAAGACATAGATTTTTACCAATTAGAAATATGTTGCTTATTTTATTAAGGATATTTTTGAATTTCTAGATATGTAATCGAATGCTGAATTACATGTTTTTTCATTACTAAGCATCTGTTTTACATAAGCACATTCCATGATTTTGCGAATTTAATTTTTAATTGTTCTGTTTTTTCTTTGTCTCTATGAATGAATATCTATGAATTAATAACTCAGACTGGATTTCTTATTTTGATTATGAGTATATAAAAATAAATATATATATATATTCTTTTGTTTTTTATTTTTTCTAAATAGTTTTCAAATTATGACAAAGTAGTCGAATCTTTGGGTGGCGTTGGATTTCGACTTGATCGAACTAATGAAAATGACATGATTAAAATATTTAAACAAGCCAATGAAATCAATCAACAACACCGAAAAAGTGTTCTGATTAATTGTCTTATTGGAAAAACAAATTTTCGTCAAGGCAGTATATCAGTTTAATGTTTTATGTTAGTTTTTCTTTGCGCAGTACTACCATTGCATTCGTATACATGTTTTAAATATAAGTTTATATTAAAAAAAAACAAACAAATCTATGCTAAAGTCTTATGTGTAGTAGTTTGACGTGGCCAATGAACTAATGATTTAGATTTTTTTAGTTGACGTTCAATAGGTTCTGTAACACAGAAAAAGAAAATTCATTTTTTTGATTATTCTAACTATATTGAAAACTTACTAGAAACTATTATTGGTTTAGAATAACCATCTGGCAAAAGTTCGTTCATGTAATCTTCTCGATGTAGAGCATATTTAATTGTCTAATTAATAAAAAACAAAAATAAGAGATTTTTTACGAAAAACTTATTTACTAAAAATGCTGATTCAGATTGTAATTGTTGCCAACGATTCAAAGTTTCATTTAGTTCTTTTTCTTTTGGTTTGGCGTCATCTAGTTTTATTTCATCAGGTTTTGTTTCATCTGGTTCTGTGTCATTTTCGGATATCAATGTTCGATTTGATTGTGCACTACAAGTGTTACTTCGAGTAATCATTGGTGTTAAAGATGTAGATGAACAATGAGACACAGGACGAGATTGACGAAGACCTGTTTCAAATTTATTTATTATCTTCTTTGTAAAAGTTATGTCAATTTACTTGAAGATAATAAGTGTGATCGAGATGAACAAGCACTTCCAGCTCGAGATTGTTTTAATGATGATATACTTGCAGATAATTGTCTTTGAAGTTGAGCTTTTCTTATGGAAGCTATATTAGCCTTTTAAAATAAATAATTTTTTTGAATAAAAATAACAAGATTATCGTAGGTTGTTTTCACCTGATGTTGATGAGCAATTTTCGCAGGCCATACTGAATTTTCGATAATTTTTTGTTTAGAAAAATTTTCTTGTAAAAACCAATTATGTTCATCACGTAAATATTTTGTATTTAATTCATCCATCATTTGTTGATCAATAGGTTTTGGATCAACTAAATCGACAATCTATAATAGAGAGAGAAAAAAAATAAAAAGCAGCTACACAAAGCTCGAAAAGAAAAAATTAATTTATACTTTTGTTGAGAATAATTTTGCATTGTTATTATCACGATTACAAATTAATAAAAGATCAAAATATTCACATAAATGTAATATTCTTGCATTATTTAAACGATAATGATGTAAGCGTCGTTCAAGTTTTAAATTACTTATACGACAATCACAAAACTATTTCGAGAAAAACAAAAGAAATTTAAAATTTTTAAAATTTTGTTTTTGTTTCTTATTACTTTAATTGTTCTTAAAATCAATTCGAAATTTCTTCTATCGTTGTTTGATACATTCATTTCATACATATTAAAAGCCAACCGAGCTTTCGATATATCATTAAAGCTAATCAATTAAATTATTAATTGAATATAACTATGGATAAATTTTACCTAAATAAATGTGAATCGACTAATTGAAGAGCTTTAGCTAAAACAACACTATTATATCGACCACTTTGACTATTATACATATAATTAAAATCAGTAGCAAATACACCTTTTTCGATTAAATCTAATAATTTCTGAAACAAACAAAAAAATAACTTACATCATTATTAATGGGTGGTACAAAAGTTCGTGGACAAATGTCAGATTTAATTGTATTGTTTTTTTTCGACAAAGTAAAAGCTTAATCAAACAAATTCATAGCATTTTTGTCACATTTTTCGACTAGCTGTCGGCAAAATATTTCGTTATAAAGTAAAGATTATGCTCTGTATGGTAGAAAAGAATAAAAACAAATGAGTTTTCTATTACTTTCTGTTTCAAGTACGATTGAGTCTGACGTTTGTCCAAGAACTTTGCAACATTCCCATAATTTCATGAGTCTTACTGAGGTCTGAACTGTTTCTCCAATTTCAAGTTTATTTAATCTTTTATCAATACGTTCTTCTGGTAACTACAAAACCATCTTTGCATTGAAAAAATTCTTAAACATAAATTCAACTCACTCCTAATGCTTGAGCCAACATCCTATATGAACATTACAAAAAAATTTAGTAAAAATAAAAAATCTTTTCATATACCTTATTTCTCGTCGATTAAAAATGCCATGTGTTTTGTTATAATGACATGTTGTATCCGACATGGTTTTATTTCTTTTATAATCAGATTAACATCAACAAGAAATGAAGTTTTTTTCTATCTCGTTTCGTTCTGCTGATTTCGCTTTTTTTTTTGTTTTTCAAAAGAAAAACTTTGTTTTGTAGGTCAAATAACAACAACGATGCGGAGGATTGATTGTACTACAGGTTTTGTCATTCGTTTTTTCTTCGCTTTTTTTTTATTACATTCAACAACATTGAAATTATTTGAAGATGACCTTCATGTTTTTTAATGTTATTTATATTTCAAACCCACATGTGAATAATGTTTAATTTAAAGGCCAAAAAAAGCATCATGAATATTTGATTAAATGAAATGAAATTTTTTATGTAACATAAGCTTGATATACACTGAATTTTATTAGAAATTTAAAAAGAAAACTTAAACAAATGTTAAGAATATATGTTAAGTACCATCATTTGCTCAAAGAGTCAAACTATTATGTTTTCTGTATATGATCATTAGAGTCATAGACTTAGTTGCATTTTGGTTTTTAAGTTAATATCAGGTCAAACAGGTACATCTGACTTTCTATGAAAATAGGAAAAAGATGTTGGAGCGTTTCAGTGAAATGTGCAATACCTGAAAAGTCGTCAAAACATCAGATAGTTTCATAAAAGAGACACGCTCTATCTTTAGATAGACGGTACTTGTGAAGATTAGAAGGTAAAATATGTTTTGTAAATTAATTATTTTTTCCAATGAAAAGTAAACGCTTACTGAAACTGATAGAATAGATTTTTTGACCTAATTATTATGACCTTGGTATCAAGCAATATATTTTGTATCCAAAACGTGCGTGTTGCATATACAGTTTGAAAATGAATAATTAATACAAATTATGCACGATTCATCGATTACATTAGTAAAAAAATGAAATTAGCACAGTGTAATAGAATATGATCCTGTTGCCAATATCAGAACTTGAATTGGATTGATCGAATAAGATGATCCAAAAACTTAAACCATCAAAATGTATCATTCAATTTTTGATCTAAATTTACACTACTTAAAAAATGATTGAACAAAACCCATTTCATAACTATTCAGAATTATCAAATATTGTGTATTAGATATCGTATCTTTCAATCAATTCATAGTTCAATATGGATACTCTTAACCATTAGGCCGAATTAATTCACCAATAACCATTGAGAACTATCAAATATCATCTATTAAACATTGGTCCATATCGATATCATTGGCTATTAAATAAAATTTTAAAATACCTGGATATTAGCTACTTGTTTGTTATTTATACAATGTGGATGTGGATGTAAGTGTTAGTATCGGTATAAGTGCTCTCAACAAAATTAAGGTATTATACGGAACCAAAAATGGTTTCATGTGCGGTAAGATAGTTAAAAAAGTTTCGAACACGATACAGAACTTAAAAAGAGTATCGCACCATAGACCAAAGTCGAGTTGAGTCAGACCGGTTGTCGATTTGAGCCAAACATGCAGGACTCGACTGCTCACACATCGCAAATAAAATTTTTCTATCATGATACTAGCAAGGGATTGAGATAATGTTTGGATTGATGTGTACAGTCAAAAGTCGAAGCATAGCTCTTCGTACTTTTTTCGGGGCTTCATGATGGCTCTTAGCCTGCTGTCATTCAGAAAGCTTTTGTTCGAATCAAATCGCAAAATTCCTCAATGTTTATTCTATATTATCTTCATCCATCCTCTTCTCATATATTTTAACTACTCCATATACATAATTATCATGTATTCCAAAGTTTTCAACATCTGATAGCTTCACAGCGAGCGTACTCTGCAAGACAATCTATAATTGATGCACATAATAGGAAGCGAATGATAGATCGATTATTTAAAGACCTGCAAATGTTCGTCGACTAAAGTTTTGAAAAACCTAAGTGACTTGGGTGGCTGGTAATAGAATAGGCTTTCGAAATCTGACAACTATAGTTGTCGAGATAGCTAAGCAAGAAAGCAAAGTTGTGGATACATACATGGAAACGAAATTATGATCAATAGTGACTGAGGCATATTTTTTAGTTACTACTCGGGAACTCGACTCAATTCGAGCCGAGTCGAGTCAGGACCTCCAGGAATGTGAGTCGAGTGGAGGTGGCACTTGATTTTTCTCAATCGTGTCGGTCTATGTTTGCACATGTTTTGGAACTTTAAAAAAGTTTCGAATTTTGCAACAAAAACGAAACCTTTTTGAGGTTTCGTATAAAATCTTTGAATTCTTAAAAAAAGACTCCTAAAGTTCGGACAACTATTGTAGATGTGTGTTAAGTTTTTAAGAAATCTTAAAAAGGGTTTCGCTGCCATGGCAAAAATGATTCCGTACGGCAGAGATGGAACCGGTACCGGTTTGGATTTTCGATCGATCGGTCTAAATCCGCCTAAACTGGTCTGACAGGTCGAAACCGCCTTATAGCAGTCTATATTTTTCACTTTTCTGCTCTAGGATTGTATTCATATGAAAAAACAACTGGCACTAAGACTAGCTCCAGTGATCACACAGAAATTTATTTAACAAACAGTTTTCAGAATGCCATCATTGAGACTATTGCTGTCAACGGCGAAACATTATGCTAGTATGCGTAAAAGTACGAAGGTAGCCCGCAAGAGAGTTCACCATGAAACAAGGTTTCATTTCAAGCCTCAGCATGTTGTCTGTAGACTGATATTTTGACAGTAGATCGAATTTTCTCTTGTAAACTGACTTATCATCAGCATCCTGTTTAGTACCTGTACCAGTCCGAGAAAAAGTAGATCGCTTCCATCTCTGCTCTACTCATATACACGGCTTACATGGAATCAAAACTATACGTAGGATATCTTAGGTCAGGATTGGAGTTTTTCCCGAATGAATTCGCCCCAAACACCTATCCAACCGAGATAAACATCTTTTCAAGTAGATCTTGACGAGCTCTATCGAATGGACGCCTTTCAAGTTCGATTTCATACTCTGAAACCCTGGAAACCGACCAATCCAGGGCCGGATTCCTCATGTTTTGCTGCAACCTGTCGTGATCCGCTCAGAAGACCTTTCCAACGTAGTGACACAACTTTCCAAGTAGATCTTCGTGAGCTCTATCGAATGGACACCTTTCGAGTTCGACTTCATGCTCTGGACTCCTCGAAACTGGCATATTCAGGCCTGGATTTCTCAGGTTTTGCTACAACCCGTCGTGTTTCGTTCGAAGGACCTCTCCAACTCACTGTTTGACCTTCCCAAGTCGATCTCAACGGGCTGTATCGAGTGCATACCATTTGATCCCAGTTTTATGCGCCCTTTAACGAGAACCCGGCCAATGGGGACCCGAGTCCTGGCGTTGGTTTTTTTAAACGTGTCGCGATTCAACTGGAAGACTTTTCCCTGTCGGTGACTGACCATCCGAAGTGGATCTCAATGCGGTCTATTAAATGCATGCCTTTTGAGCTGGATTTCGAGTTTCCTTTTTGGAGAAATTGATCAATGGGTACCACGATGCGCACTGTGTTTTTGTAAAACCTGTTGCGATTCATCCAAAAGGCCTTTTCAACTCAGTGATTGACCTTGTTACGTAGATCTGGGCGACCTTCATCTTATCCATTTTTTTTCATGCTTGTGTCCATGCTTTTTTGGCAGTGAAAATCGTCGAAAGTCTCAGAACACGCGTATTTTTGCCGGAGTGTCGTGGGTTTTAGCTATGCACCGCTTCTGACAATATTTTTGTTACATCAAGTATATGTGATTCGGTTCACGGCAATTCTTGCTGCTTTCACAAGACAATTGTAGTAAAATGATTTCGTAGTCGTACAATGGTTTACTGTTATTTACACTTAATTAAATAGTTTTACAATGTTTTTGTTTTTATGGATCCCAGGTCAAACGGTACGGCTTCGATACGCGTACGGCACAATAATAGACTCAGTACGTGTGTGGTACACAAACCGAACGCATACGGCATGCTAGATGTATATGTTATACGTACCACGAACAACTCTCCGATAACGAGGATACATAATCAGAATATGGCTGTACAAGAATATATATACACTCTAAAAAATGCCATCCGTCTTACAAGACGGTGTATCCGTCTATGGTCTAGCTTAGATATGCGACGCGTCTTAGTTTTTAGACACTTGGTAGCAATAGACACTGAAATGTCTTATGTGTTAGACACTTGAACACATGCACAGTGAAACGTCTTATTCTTTAACTTAGTTGTCGCTATTTCATTTTATTTATTTCTCACTTCAACGTAATCAATAACGTTTATCGAATTCTTAAATCAAGATAAGTCGTCAAGCATAAGGGTTTTTCGAGATCATAATTTTTTTTTGTTCTTTCTATTTGCCTTTATTAAGATAATTTTTTGACAAATTTCATTTTTGAAGAATAATACTATTTTTTTTCTAATTCATAATTTTCAGTTAAAGTGGTACTGTCTTTTTTATGGGGTAAATATAAACTAATACCTAAAAATATAGCAATCTGTATCTAATTTTAAAATAAATCTATATCTAATATAGGATGAATTTATATCTAATTAAGAAAATAATATATCTAATTTTAAAATTTATTTATATCTAATTTATTAAGTAACATTACCTAACAACATAAAGTTATATCTAATTAATAATTAAAGTAATAGAAAAAAATAAAGATACAATTATCAATTATTTACAAAAATAACATAGCAAAAAAAAGAAAACGATTGCACAATTAATGCTTTTTTAGCTTCAACAGAGTCTATTGAATCTGTTTTATCATTATCTGACAATGCTGCTGCCATTTTTTTAATAGTATATTTTTTAATATTTTTTAAACTAACTTTTTCCTTATCACTTATCGTCATTCCTAGCTCATATATACTCTTTCAATTAATTGATAAGTACTAATCAATTATAGATTACGTTCAAATTAATTAGATAATTCAATAAATTGATTGATAGTTATTTGTTAAAAGGGATAATATATTAAATTAAAAGGTAGAACATTTTTGAATTCAGAAATTTAATTGATTTAAAAGATGTTTAATTAAAAAATTAGATTAAACAATTTTTT